CCATCTTGATCGAATTCTCCCCCATGATCACTTCTTATGGATGAAATGTGACAATCTTTTTCATTTTGAACCAATTTAATGAATTTCTTAAAAGCATTAAGTGCATCATACTTATGAGCAAGAAAGAGTGTCCATGTAAATCTCGAATAGTCATCAACGATAACAAAGCCAAAGTAATTACCTCCTAAACTCATAGTTCTTGAAGGTCCAAAAAGGTCTATGTGCAAAAGTTGTAATGGCCTAGTCGTAGAAACAACGTTCTTTGACTTAAACGAGGCCCTTACTTGCTTCCCCTTTTGACATGCATCACAAATTAGATTCTTCTCAAACTTAAGTTTAGGAACACCAATTACTAAGTCTTTTGAAACCAACTTATTAAGATGGTCCATGTTAACGTGAGCTATCCGACGATGCCATAGTCACGTTTCTTCCTCTCTGGTAATGAGACACTTAGCTAAAGTAGACGGGGAATTTTCAAGATCAAACATGTAAATGTTATCTACTCTACTACCACAAAGAATAGTCTTATTGTCACATAAGCGTTCTACAATGCATTTTCTAGAATCAAAGATGACACGGTTACCTCTATCGCACAATTGGCTAATGCTAAGAAGATTGTTCTTGAGGCCCTCAACAAGAAGAACGTTCTCAACAGTTGTAGCTTTGTCCTTTCCGACGGTGCCACTTCCAATGATTCTTCCTTTGTTGTTGTCACCAAAAACGACATTGCCACCTTTGAAATATTCTAAACTCCTAAATTTGGATGCGTCTCCGGTCATGTGCTTGGAGCATCCGCTATCGAGATACCAAGAGGTACTCGAAGCCTTCAAGCACACCTACAAAAAGATATCAAGGAGACGGTTAAGGTACCCATCTATTGTTGGGTCCTTTTTAGTTAGCATATGTGCGATGTGTGTGCGTTTGTTGAAAATGCCTAATTTTAGTGAAGCACACGGGTGCAATGTGACCTATCTTATTGCAATAGTGGCAAATAACATTTGGATTATTCATCCTATATGGTTGAGTGTAATGAGTTCTAGGTTTGCTAGGATGTGCTTTTCTATATTGATTATTAATCCTAGCATTTTTATTCCCCCTAGCTTTAACAAATGTTGTTTTTCTAGGTTGGTTTTTCTTATATCCAAGTCCTTCACCATTACTAATTTTTTTGCTTAAGTATTTTATCTAAGGTGTTTGAAGCATTATTGAACTTTCCCAATTTGCTCTCTAAACTAGCAACCTTAGTTTTTAGTGATGTACAACTAGAGCATGTAGAAGAAGAAGTAGTTGAAGGTTCTTGTGGCCTTTTTCCAAAAGAGATAATTTCTTGTTTAAATTTATCATTTATATTTTTGAGTTCTTTGATTTCATTCTCAAAAATCAGGATTTTTTGCTTTACTTCATTGTTTTCTTTGGAGGCCTTTTTGAACATTTTTACCAAATCGTCTACAATGCAAACAACATCATTAAGAGTTAAATGATCATTGGGAGAAGGTTCTTGATCACTTACCTCTTTTGATGTATCACCATCTTCAATGGCCATGAGACACAAGTTGGCCACTTCTTCCGTTTCCGAGTCTTCACTCCCGGAGCCGTCGTTCTCCCAAGAAATGTAAGCACGCTGCTTCTTCGATGCCTTGTTGTCCTTCTCGTTCTTGAGCTTTGGGCACATTGGTTTGATGTGTCCAATTTCACCACACCCATAGCATTTGGGTGGAGTGTTCTTCTTGGCTCCCTTCTTGAGCATCATCTTCTTGAATTTTCGGACAAAGAGTCCGAGGTCGGTGTCGTCGCTGTCATCATCTTCATCATCAACGTTGTTGTGGGTTGATGTTGTTGCGGGTAGAGCAATAGACCT